ATTATAGGCGATGATGTAGCGACGTTCGAAAAGATAATAAGGAACATTTATAGTAAGATCGAGCGCACACACGTGTATATTACCCGAACGAGGTGTTGTTGTTTGTGTGTAACACACAACCTCTTCCCTCGTCTCGTCGTGTACGCGAGTGCGTATCTTTTTTATAAATCTTATTGAAAATCTTTTCGTCGTCCCACCATCATATAATACGTATAATTTTCGAACGCACCACGCCGTATAGAGCGCTTCTAGTACGCGCGAGCGCGCGCTCGGGGTACGTTCCGACACGCGTATATCGCATAGACATAATATTGTGTTGTATGCGTATGCGTATGTACACACGTGTCTCTACGACGTCGTCGTCTGTACGGATGGCGATATTTTCGACGGGTAACTCTATATGGGAGAAGAACGGAGATATGTCGTCGTGTCCGCACGACTCATTTCCTTCTTTTCCGGTTGTTTTTAAAGATATTCGCCCGTTAGTCGAAATTTCTACGCCATACGAAAAGACGGTACAAGAGGACGACACGTGTTGTACGCTTAATACATACATATATATTCATGTTATGTACAACTCTGTTGTAGTGTTATTTGTACCCCTTGCACACGCGTATGCTATAGAAGCGCGATACGGATAGAATGCGCGCGTACACGAGAGACTTCGTCGGCACGCTCGTTTGTTATAAACGCGCAAAAATAATTTTGCGCGTTTGCCGCGCAAAATACACGAAGTCTCCGTGAGAAATGCGCGCTTTCTTTTTTTTATATATTTTCTTTAATAACATTAGCCATTATCATAACAATAAAGACGTATCGATATATATTTTATATATATAGAGATCGTCTAATTAAAAAACGATTACCCTGAACGGTGAATCACTTGGCTCGTGGGTCGATGAAGAACGCAGCTAATTGCGCGTCAACTTGTGAACTGCAGGACACATGAACATCGACATTTCGAACGCACATTGCGGTCCTCGGATACTGTTCCCGGACCACTCCTGGCTGAGGGTCGTATCAATTTAAAAGACTGCTCGGTTTCCTCTCCGATCTCTGTTCGCGTCGTCGTATTATCTCTTTATCCGAGAGACGACGACGACGACGACGACATGAGAGAGGAGAATGAAACGTCGGAGCGTGTTGGATGTAGACGCGGCGGTACGACGCGACGACGCTAGTTATTATATATTTATTTATGTAATATCGTAAACGTCGTCGTCTTTGTCGTCGTCGCGGCATCTCAAAACGCGAAAGCGACGATTCGTTCGTCATACGAACGAATCGTAAACTCACACATAGAACGAACACGCGCGCTGTACGGATAAAAATCGTAATAGCACTACATATATATATATATATATATATATATATGTATATATGCTGTAGTCGTTACGCGTTTCGAACTTGCGCTGCGATCGTCGTGTCCGAGAGAGAAATTATTTTTTTCGAGATAACGACGTCTGATCGCATATACGCGCTAAACACTAGAGAACGCTTTCGACTAGTAGTAGTATAGCAGCAGCAGCTATACGATTTAGTATTAGCGATCGCGTGTGACATATATATCTGTGTGTGGTGTTGTGTTGTATATTGTTAACCGACCTCAGAGCAGGTGAGACTACCCGCTGAATTTAAGCATATTACTAAGCGGAGGAAAAGAAACTAACTAGGATTCCCTCAGTAGCTGCGAGCGAACAGGGAAAAGCCCAGCACCGAATCCCGCGGTCGATATCGGGCGCCGGGAAATGTGGTGTTAGGGAGGATCCGTTTATCCCGAGGTCGCGCGGCGAGTCCAAGTCCTTCTTGAACGGGGCCACAGCCCATAGAGGGTGCCAGGCCCGTAGTGGCCGCTGCCGATCGCGGGAGGATCTCTCCTCAGAGTCGGGTTGCTTGAGAGTGCAGCCCTAAGTGGGTGGTAAACTCCATCTAAGGCTAAATATGACCACGAGACCGATAGCGAACAAGTACCGTGAGGGAAAGTTGAAAAGCACTTTGAAGAGAGAGTTCAAGAGTACGTGAAACCGTTCAGGGGTAAACCTGAGAAACCCGAAAGGTCGAAAGGGGAAATTCATTCGCGTTTCGGCCGTCGGCGATGAGCGGTCGCGCGACGGACGGCGTTCGCGCGTCGTCCGCGCCTTTCGCTTTTCGATCCGGCGTCGAACGCGTGCACTTTTCCCCTAGTAGGACGTCGCGATCCGTTGGGTGTCGGTCTACGGCTCGCGGTGGAGTCCGTGTACGATCGTTTCGGCGATTCGTGCTCGAACCCGCGATGTTCCGGCCGACTCGCTCGACGGTATACAGATGGCGCGAGGCCGCTACTTCTTCAATTAGCGTCCGACCCACGACAAGCACGTTCGATGCTAAGACGGCGATCGGACCTAGCGCCCGGTTCCGTCCCCGGACGACTGTTGGTCGTGCGGATTTCTCGGACAGACCTCGTTTGAAACGCCGATCTGCGACGCTATAGCTTTGGGTAATTTCAGGACCCGTCTTGAAACACGGACCAAGGAGTCTAGCATGTGCGCGAGTCATTGGGACATAACTAAACCTAAAGGCGCAATGAAAGTAAAGATCCGCCTAGCGCGGATTTAGGGAAGATGGGCGGCACGTCTATAAAGCGGCCGCTCCGCACTCCCGGGGCGTCTCGTTCTCATTACGAGAAGAGGCGCACCAAGAGCGTACACGCTGGGACCCGAAAGATGGTGAACTATGCCTGGTCAGGACGAAGTCAGGGGAAACCCTGATGGAGGTCCGTAGCGATTCTGACGTGCAAATCGATCGTCGGAACTGGGTATAGGGGCGAAAGACTAATCGAACCATCTAGTAGCTGGTTCCCTCCGAAGTTTCCCTCAGGATAGCTGGCGCTCGTCTGTGACGAGTTTCATCCGGTAAAGCGAATGATTAGAGGCATTGGGGTCGAAACGACCTCAACCTATTCTCAAACTTTAAATGGGTGAGATCTCCGGCTTGCTCGAACTAATGAAGCTGCGAGAATCGAATCAGAGTGCCAAGTGGGCCATTTTTGGTAAGCAGAACTGGCGCTGTGGGATGAACCAAACGTCGAGTTAAAGCGCCTAAATCGACGCTTATGGGATACCATGAAAGGCGTTGGTAACTTAAGACAGCAGGACGGTGGCCATGGAAGTCGGAATCCGCCAAGGAGTGTGTAACAACTCACCTGCCGAAGTTACTAGCCCTGAAAATGGATGGCGCTGAAGCGTCGTGCTTATACTCGGCCGTCAGCGGCATGTGCGGTCTCGATCCGCGTAAAAACGGATCGGCCATGAAGCTCTGACGAGTAGGAGGGTCGCGGCGGTGCGCGCAGAAGGGCTGGCCGTGAGGCCGTCTGGAGCCGCCGTCGGTGCAGATCTTGGTGGTAGTAGCAAATACTCCAGCGAGGCCCTGGAGGACTGACGTGGAGAAGGGTTTCGTGTGAACAGCCGTTGCACACGAGTCAGTCGATCCTAAGCCCTAGGCGAAAGCCGATGTTGATGTGGCGTTGTTTTATAAATATATGTATGTATGTGTGTATATATAAAGAACACGCCCGTCGGGCGAAAGGGAATTCGGTTCCTATTCCGAAACCCGGCAGCGGAACCGTACAATAGTCGGGCCCTCGCAAGAGAGTTCGTCGGGGTAACCCAAAAAGACCCGAAGACGCCGTCGGGAGACCAGGGAAGAGTTTTCTTTTCTGCATAAGCATTCGAGTTCCATGGAATCCTCTAGCAGGGAGATATGGTTTGGAATGCGAAGAGCACCGCAGTTGCAGCGGTGTCCTGGTCTTCCCCTCGGACCTTGAAAATTCGGGAGAGGGCCACGTGGAGGTGTCGCGCCGGTTCGTACCCATATCCGCAGCAGGTCTCCAAGGTGAAGAGCCTCTAGTCGATAGAATAATGTAGGTAAGGGAAGTCGGCAAATTGGATCCGTAACTTCGGGATAAGGATTGGCTCTGAGGATCGGGGCGTGTCGGGCTTGGCGAGGAAGCGGGTCGCGGCTGACGTGCCGGGCCTGGGCGAGGTGAAACGTTCTGTCGTATGCGTTCGCGCGTGTGCGGTAGGATTGCGGATCCGAACTCGGTACCGTGCCTTGGCCTCCCGCGGAACCGTCTTGCTGCGAGGCCCAGAGTGCGCTCGCAAGGGCGTTCTGGTGTCCTCTTCGGCCGCCATTCAACGGTCAGCTCAGAACTGGCACGGACCGGGGGAATCCGACTGTCTAATTAAAACAAAGCATTGAGATGGCCCCTGCGGGTGTTGACTCAATGTGATTTCTGCCCAGTGCTCTGAATGTCAACGTGAAGAAATTCAAGCAAGCGCGGGTAAACGGCGGGAGTAACTATGACTCTCTTCTCCGCCGCTGAGGAGTGTGCACGTGTGTGCGACACAACGCGATTTTTATAAACGCATCAAGAAATTCTACCGCGTCGCGGCGCCCTCAATAACGGGCAGCACACGTGCAGTGACGGGTTTAGTGCGTGGGAGTGAAGACAGCGGGGTGAGTGCAAGGGCTGGTATCAAAAAGGGAAAATTAGAGAAACAACGCGATTCTAACCTAGAAATCTTACAATAAAGGTTAGAATCGCACGACAAGCCGCGGGCCCCATATTGTCTTTGGGGCATCGCGCATCTAATAGAATATCACACCAGCTCGATTGCCCCCCGCAACGCCGGTTTCCGGCGTCAAGCCGCTAGTGCCCTTTTGGCAAGTACATCGTGTCCGACGGGGCCAAAAAGGCGTCCAATCAATCATCTACCGGCCCCAAGGACACACACCAAATCTCAGCTCCATAACTCGACAGTTAACGCCGTACTGGCCGTATTAAGTGCGGCCAGGTATCAGGAGACCAGGAGCTGGGAGGAGGTAGTTCCGGAGATAAAATCTTTCACACGCGATATCTCCGGAACCAGACCACGTAGCGGCAAACGGTCTTCACTCCCATACGCGGAAAGGACAGTGCTTTAACCTACCCAAAGACACTCAACGGCGGCGGCGCATGCGCAATGGCGGATTCCAAGAGGAAGACATTTAAAACCGCTGTTGCGGCAGAGAGAGTTAGAACACGTGACATGACGTCACGTCACCCCACCCGCAAGAGGAAATTCGATATAAATGAGGGGGAACCAGTTAAATCCCCTCCAGCGGGTGGAAAATCGACTGCCGGTGGCCCAACAGCCACCGGAACCAAATTGGCAGGCTCGAATACCGTTTCTCCAATACCAGGGCCCAGTAATACGGTGACCCTGCAGCCTGCCAATGCAGCACCATACAGGTGTCAAATATGCGAGAGGCCCTATGAGACAAAAAGTGGCCTCAACAAACATCTCCTAACATGTGGCAAGCGCGATCGAACTAAATGCCAATATTGCAAAGCAGGTTTTACTACATACACAGGGGTGCGGCTTCACGAGCAGAGGGCACACCCCGAAGCAGAAAACGACAGCAGGAGGAGGGAACTACGAAGGCCTGATTCCGAAATCTATGATATACTGGCAAACATCGAGATCCAGTCACATAAAGGCCCCTTTATGGCGAAAATGGTTGCCGAATCAGGTCTGACGAAGGACCAAATACGGCATCGAAGAGATAAACCCATCTATAAGCAATACCTCGATGCCGCTAGGAAGAAACAGCAACCAATCCCTTCTCCCAGTGTGCCCTGTGAGCCGCCCACCTGCCCAACGAACGAGAAGATCGACCATCAGGCAGCGACATCGACGCCACCAACAGCTCGCGACGATGTAAAAGAGGGTGAGTGCTCCTCCGCGGTTGCGTCCGCACTATCGCCAATCACTCCAGATCCGATGACAAGCAGGAAGAGGATTCGGAATGAATCGATGTCGCCTCTGTCGCAGCCTACAGTAAGGAGACCCCGCACCGATGCAGTCAACCTCACCGCCAACTCCCCCGCACAGGTCGAACAAACCCAGGTGGTCATTGAACCAGCGCTGCGCGAATACCTCGCGTCTGAACGCGAAGCAGCGCTGGCCAATGGGAACGGCCATCTGGCGGACCTGTGCCAGGCAGGATCATCGCTTGCGGTTAATGATCTTGCCTCCTATCTAGACAATTGGATAATAGAACATTTCCAAAAAGGGGGAAGGAAATACAACCCAAATGGTCACAGAGGTGGACCAAAATCAAATTACGGAGGTACTAGACCAGGAAGAGGTCCACGGGTAGAATCATACAAAAAGGCCCAGGATCTCTACCTCCGTAACAGATCAGCTCTAGTGGATAAAATCATTTCAGGAACTCCACTAGACTCTACTGAAGAGGTACCACCTCTAAAAGCGGTTGAGGAGCTGTATAGCGGGATCTTCGAGCGGGCTGCGACGGAGACGATGACGGTTCATCCCGAACCACGAAACACCGATGCCACCACTTTCGCTCCATTCGAAGAAAGCGAACTAGAGGCAGCCAAAACAGCATGGGCTAACTCAGCACCTGGTGCTGACGGGATAACGGTGGCATCGGTTAAAAATACGAACAACAGGGTGCTATGTGTTTTATATTCAATAATCCTTATGAGAAACGTGCACCCTGCCATCTTCCTGCGGTCTAGGACCACAATTATATATAAAGACGGCCAACGGAGCGAGGCGGCGAATTGGAGGCCCCTTACTATCGGGAGTGCCCTCCAGCGACTGATGCACAGGGCGATGGCTAACCGCTTGCGGAAGGTCGTCGCCCTGGAAGCCAATCAACGCGGATTTAGTACGCTGGACGGCACTCTCGCGAATTGTATGATTCTACACTCATACATTCGGAATAGGGTGTCCTCCAATAAAGAGTACGCGGTCGCTTCACTCGATTTGCGGAAGGCCTTTGACACTGTTGGACATGGGAGCGTTGTGGGAGCTCTCAGACGGTTTGGGGTGGACGAGCGTTCCATACGTTACGTTGCGACAAACTTGGCAACCTCTGTGACACAGATTCGGGTGGGGCAGGAAACGACGAGGGACATTGGGTTTAGCTGCGGTGTAAAGCAAGGGGATCCGCTGAGTCCGCTACTTTTCAAT